TACGGCTTTCTCTCTCTCTCTCTCTCTCTCTCTCTCTCTCTCTTTCCCTCTCTCTCTTCTTGTTGTTGTGTTACTTTCGGTAGCGATGACAGTTACCCAATCCGCACCTGTTGACAGATTAGATTAGATTTGATGAAAATTCGTTTGACCTAGTTTGATTGAATATCGCTGAGAACTCGTTTTTCAACCGTCTGGTCCACGTGATTCGATTGATGGACACCGTCCATCGTATCGTGTGACCACACCTTATTGACGACCTGTGAAGTGTTTTACCAATGCGCCAAATATTCACCCGTTTTAAAGAACAACTTCGGTTGCCAATTGGTTCCTCAGCAATCCGCCTCGTGAATAGGTTTAAACTAGCAGCAAAATGGCAACATGAAATTCGTCATTTGATTTGAAAATATCGCTTTCTCTTTTTTGTGGTTTCGAATAGATGATATTTTTCCCAATGGAACTTAGTAGACAAACTCTGACTGGTGTAATTAATACGATTGTCTATCGTTCACCTTTTTATTTTACAATTATGAACACGGAAGTATTCCGAGCAGTTCTAACTGATCAATCGTGCTGAGACACATTTTCACCAAAGCTTCTAACGAAAAAGCAAACAATTCCTTAAATTTTTTTCTCCCCACGGCTGCTTGCAGTTGTCAAGTCCAGCGTCCCGCCACTTTTTCCGCCGTTGGTTCCAGTTCATCCGTCCAGTAATCTGGGACTGAGTTCACCAAGCACTCCAGAGCAAGCCTCGTCACAGATCAAATCGAGTACACCGTCCGAGAAATCAGTCAATCGGACCCCTATGGATGACCGATCCGTTCGACGTCCCCTGTCTTTCGATCGAAGCCTTCTGGAACGAATCTTATCTGCTGGGATGTTGCGATCGACGGCTGAGAACCCGGTCACACCTGACGTATCAGACCACGCTGATGGGATCGAGCAAAACGTCCAGCAATTTCGCGCTTTTCGAATCGTTTGTGCTGATCCAACCAGTGGAGAGGTAAGTACCAAGTGATACACACTGTTAGGAGTTCTCCACATGTTCGTTTTTTCGCATATCTACATTCATTTTAATAATAAAAGGTCGTGAACAGTGGGACTTGTTCATCGTCTCAATCCGTTTTGCAACCCTAATCTACCGATACTCTCCATTTTCTCTTCAACTCTACTTTCAACTTTCCTATCTTCCTCCTACTTCTTCATCCAAATGGGCAGTCCAAAGGAAGCAACCAAAATCGGTTCATGAAAGAGCATGGTTAGTGGTTGTACAAACTGCAACTGAAATGAACTGAAAAGTTTTTCACCGTCATTTTTTGTATCTGTCACTGTGTAGCTCTTTCAAATTGTTCTCGCCAAACTGCTCTCGATTTGTTCCACACTTGCTGATCAAACATAAAGTTCTCTGATTAACTTCGGAATTCTGGTAATTGTATGAGAATAATTGAAATAGAACTTTCGAATCGCTTTTTGTCGTTACTGACACGTATTCAACGCCCTACTGAATCGCACAGACTTGAACGAAGGGTTCCCCTCACTAGTCTACGCACGTACTTGTTTGTGTTTTTCAAACTCGTCTATCCCTGTGAATACCTGCCAGTAGTGGGCGCAAGTGGGTCCTATTCGTATCATTGAATCTAGTAGTTTTCTTTGTGGGAAAATTACGTCTGATAAGTGTAGTGTCCATTCATGTGTTTGAATTAGCGAGGCGTTTTGCTGCGTTAATCTGATGATGGTATTGTCCACACAATTAAAACTCTCCTATAATACCTGTTTTTACTTGCTTTACGCACCCCATCTTGGGTCATATTCCGAACTTTCCCTACCCTCCTATTCCTTTCTACCGATTCCATGGAGCATCAAGAGTTCTCCATGTAATTTGTGCAACCCTAATCTAGGATCTCCCCGCTTGAAGTGAATAAAATTATTTTGCAAAATAGTGTGGTGACAATACGAACAACATCTTTTCTGCATAATGTGGGTCGCACCGAATGTGTGCATCACTTGTGTTGAAGATGATTTTCCCGTTATCCCTCCTCGGTTTCTTTCGTCTTGTCGGCTGCCACTTGAGAATATGCAGACTCTGTGCATTAAGTTCATGATGAAAATTGGGAATCAAGTATTCAGTATCGTCCGAAGGATCAGTGGATCTTCATGTTTGGAGAAGCATCTCTAAGCTTCGCGTTGCGAACGGTAACCGGAAGGATGACAGGGTGATAATCAGTGGAAGATGTAAATGCCTGAGATACAGCGATCTCCGAGTGGCAAACTCCATAAGGGCTCCAATAATCAACGTATCGTTTCAAACCACCCAATCTCTGTTTATTACCAAAATTAAGTGTGGTTGGCACGGTTGGTTTCTTGGGGTATAGAGCACACCGTTGGTAGCGACTTGAAACCGATCAACCAACGCCAGCCACGATTCACAATGCTTCTCACAGACATACTCGCTGTCCTTCACGTAGGAAAAGTAGTATGCAAATGGAAAACACATCACCATGCACTCAGATGGTATTGTTTCTCATCTACGATCGCTATTCTTACTCCTGATGGAACAAATTAGCGGCACCTCTCTCATGCACAATCCAGAGGTATTTTTGGCATGAAGCATTTCCTTGCTGCCCATTGACTTGCAGGAACCCCACCACTTCTGAAATTTTCATGAAATCATGGGTTTTGGGCAAAGTGGTTACCGATGCAATGCAATCTAAGTATTGCTGTTTAGATAGAGCTCTTTGGTGTCTTGGTTAAAACGCTTACTAACCAGTTTTCGGGTTCATAGATTCATTCTCGCAAAGGAAGTTATCAACATGCTGGTATTNNNNCCGATATCAGTTCTGCCCCATGAAGCCTCTATGTGGTTCGTGACTCCAAGTCCCAGGATTAAGATTGCCGGCTAGCAGAAACCAGTCGATGTACGCACCAAAATAACCCTTTTCCACTGTTTGTCTCACCCAGACGTGTGCAGCTGCAATAGATATTCGTTACTCCATGACGCGGATAAATCCGTTTATATTTTCGAAAAGTGGCTGCATGCGTAACACTAAATGGAATCAATAGTGCCTGTTCAGCTCACTAAGTTCCGTTGGTTAGGACACTGTTTGCATATGTTCGGCGGTCGCCTACCGCACCTCGCCTTATTCGAAGTGGCTGTTACAAGCTGAAGAAAGCCACTTGGAGGCCAGCTGATGACACAGAGACGAGACATGAAGAAATGCACAAAACGATCAGGTAGAGTAGGTGTCTGTCGTCTTCCGAGTTGAGGTCCAAATGACTCCGTAACTGGATGGTCGGGGACACTGAAGGTCATGGCTGCGGACCGACAGTAATGGCAATCTTGCTGTAACTTGTAATCCGACCAGAATACTTGAAATAGTATGCATGCACAGTTGTTCTGTCTACTCTGTATGTTGACCATAAAGGTTCGCTTTCTTTTACCGTCCCTAAAAATAGGCCAAATCCATTTTTTCCTTACACATTATCACTTACCTTGTATGCATTATGAGTTGGGCAGCGAACAGTGAAGTTCGCTTCAACGTAGTACGCTGTACAATTATGATGATTAGTGCTTGTTTTCGCTGCTAGTGCTCTTGTCCGTGTAAATGCGGTCGTCACATAACAGTGCTCAACTCATTCTCTCATTGTACCGACAGACACCAAAACGAAACCTGTTGGAGCGTTGTTCCACACTTCAACTGTCCGGTTTAGATCGAAGCAGTGAGGATGAACATGCGGACAATTCATTGGAGCGAGCATGTGAAGGTATCGCGCGGAACGTTGTTCGTGAAGCCTTTCATCAATGTAAGCACTCAATTTAGGGTAAGGGGGCCGGGTGGTAGCTCGAGTTTATAAAAGCCCCTTTATATCTCATTTGGAAAGAAACATGTGTGACGGTCACTTTTATGCTCATCACCTTATCCTGCTACTGCGATGAAAGTGTCTTACATTTGTGGATTATGTATTGTCTATATTGATTAAAGCGTGAGTTATTCTCAGTGAGCTTGTTTGCTTTGCTTCTAGGCTGTAATTCATGATCTAATAAATTCCGAGATTGAAAAAGCGTATCACCGTGTTTAGCACGTTTCCAGATTTGGGTTTTCTTGAATGTTGACTCTGCGCTATCTTGTATTGAAAACACTTGGAAAATAGTTGAATGTTTTTACTCCCGTACACGATGTGGAAAACCTGTGTATTATATTGTGCACGATAATCTTGAAACTTAAAACGGTACCGAATGTGAGATTTCTGGTCCGTATACTTCAACAATGTAACCTTTCTACTGTTGTGATTCATACATTCTGCTGATCTTCAAACTTATTATTTTACTTCACGCGTGTGTGTGTGTGTGTGTGGAGGGGGCGGACGATCTTCATTGATCTTCCTTTGATGCTGGTTTTCAGCCAATGTAGCACGTCTCACCGGCCTATCCGATAACGGTCGATAGTTATCAGCATTTTCTATAGTTAAGCACCAACAAGTGTTCGACATTGATGATTAATAACTTCAGACCTGACCTCGCTAAAGTATAGCTGCTACATCCAAATCCACAAAAGCCGTATCTCCGAACTATTCAGCGAATTGCTGCCGCATACACAGACCGTGGCAAATAGACTAGCAACACGTTCAGACTGGTAACTGTTTGTTCAATGACTAGTAGTATTGGTGACAAGGACAGTGAGAAAGTTCAACATGTAACCGATCTGAACGATCCTCCGGGCTATTACAAAACAAACATTTCATCGTAGGCCATGTGTCAATTGAACGAATGTAATGCGCATTTGTTGTACGGGTATTGGTACAATTCAAAATACCCGTTGTGCAATTCAGAGGAACTGGCACAAGAATGAAACGGCAGAATCAAAAGTGAAATGACGGATTATCGAGCATGAAAATATCTGAGGTTG